TTAAAACAAGATCAGAAATGATCCTGCATCAGCAAGACCTATAGTGAGTTTTTTTCTCTAAAGCAGAGGTGTGTTTCCTATTTGCACACAAGTCTGAAGAAACAATGGACTCTGCCTCATGCGGCTCTCCAGAAGCAACTACACAAAGCCAATCAGTTACACTGGGACCATGAAAAGCAGGCAGAACTAAGCTTCATCTCCCTATTGAAGTTGGCTAAGAAACGTGCTGAGCTGCAGCATCTAAGCATCCCAGTGGAAGATTTAAAGTATGTCTCTTGGCTCTGGGGAGAAAAGCACAACCTAAAGGAAAATGTTTCCTGGATCACAATAACGTGCATGGAATATTGCACGGTCACACTGAAATACCCACAGACACTCTGGCAGGACAGGTGCTGACTTGATCTTCCTGAAGTTCTGCTGCCTATGTGAGGTTTCCCAGGACATGGGAAGCCAAAGAAAGTACAGGTAGCCAGAGCAATGCAGGCAATGGAGGTTTGAATGAAAGAGGAGAGATCAAACACCCTATGGAAATGCCCCTTTGGTCTCAGGAATCCCCAACAGGTATCTGCCACTATAGACGCCCCACTCCTACATATTCGCCACTAATCAGCATATAGACATGAAACAAGCAGGGCTCTTACGTCATTGTAGAGGATCCAGCTATGAGAGGCAGGAGGAAGACACAGTTGAGTGCTGGTGGGCTCAGACTACGGGCATGCGTTCCTCCTCTACACCTCTCTTTCTCTGGCTGTTGCACTTCTTCCATTGCTCTCAGTCTACACTGAAGCCCCACCCATGTCACTCCCGGTTATGGTGTCTGCATCTGGCTTTTTGCTTTTAATCCAAAGGGTAGAAATCAGGTGGCATATGACTGCCACTGGGAAGTGGCCAGGAGGACACTGCTAGGCCAATATTTACAAACCCACATCCTAGGCTCACGCGCTTCAAGGCTTTTGCTGGGTTTGCTAGTGCTTCTGTGGGTAGATGTCTGCTCTGGTCTTTACATCCTTGCAATCCCATTCATGACAGAAGGTGACACAGAGCGAGCTCCAGTGGTGTTATTAAAGGGTGTACGTAGGAGGATCTCATTAAACGAATAGTGAGGAAAATTCATCCTTGATGACTTACTTCCCTGACTCTTGTGGATTTACTCCAGAGTGAGGTTGTTCTGTACCATTTTTCTTTCTACAGAAAATTAACACAAGTGGAAGCTTAGACAAGCAGAAATAAAAACCTTTAGGGGTAAAATTGTTGTGTTATAGGGTGTGTCTAGACAACAGGTTTTTTTTTTAAGTGGCCTTTTTCCGAAAAAACTTCCCCTGTGTCTAGACTGCCACTGCGTTCTTTCAAAAGTAAATCGAAAGAACATGGTGTTTTTTTCGACCGTGGTGAACCTCACTTTAAGAGGAAGAACGCCTTTTTTCGAAAGTGCTCTTTCGAAAAAAGATGTTCTTGAATGCAAACAGGGTATTTTTGAAAGAGAGCATCCACACTGCCTGGGTGCTCTCTTTCGAAAAAGTGGCTCACTTTTTTGAAAGACGTAGTTGCAGTCTAGATGCTCGCTTTCGAAAGAGGCTTGTAGTCTAGAAACCCCAATTCATATCGAAACCCCAATTCTGCCCTGCTGTCCTCCTAAACAGCTCTGTTGACCTGTCCTGACAGAAATTTGAAGAGAGTTTACTTTCTTATTATACTTCCTTTCTCTCTCCAACCCCCAGGCCAGAAGTTGATGGCAGAGTGACAGACCAGAGAGAGAAAGAGAACCAGGGAGGTTTCTGCAACAGCTCAAGGGCTGATGACTATCCAGCCTATCCCATTGGGGCAGCCACCCCACTGAGAGGAGTATTCAGCCCAGAATCATTTGTGTCTGCATAAAATGATTCCAGGACACTTATATGCCTCAGGGTCACTGACATACCGAGCTTTGAGTCCATATATTGATCTGTCCTTCTGAGCTAGTTTAAAAGTCAGTGTAAGTCTGCTATCTCAGGTTGTGAGTTACTACACACACACACGCTATGCCAGAGTAAACCTAGACACTGGTGTAACCAAGAGTAAATAGAACATAGAGAACAAGTTCCCTTGGTACCAATGTCCCCTAGAGTCGGATTGGGAGAAAGGATGTACGGGGTAATGGAAAGTGTAGCTGATGCAGAAGGCTAGGCAGGAGAAGCAGTAAAGACATCCCAGCCACCCCTTGGGAGTGAGAGTGATTTGTGTGGATAGGCAGAGAAATGCATCTAGGTCAGGGATTTTCTAACATGTCCCAGTTGAAGAAAATGGTTGATGCCCACGACCGAACATAAGTTGACTATAGTGTGGGTTCCGGGGTGGGGCTGAGGGTGAGAGGTTTGGCGTGTAGGAGGGGGCTCTGGCTATGGGGGGGGGATCAGGGGTGCGGCAGGAGGGGCTGACCTCAAGCGATTTCAGGTCAGCAGTGTAGCGGGGGATCTAAGGCAGCTTCCTGCCTCTCCTGGCACCGCAGACCATGCTGCCATCAGGAGCAGCTAGCAGCAGGTTCCCAGCCAATGGGAGTGCGGAGCTAGCGCTCAGGGCAGGGGCATTGCACAGAGCCCTATGCGCTCTTTCCTACCCTCCTCCCCCAGGAGCCGGGCTTGTTGCTGACTGCTTCTGGGGTGCAGCACAGTCTATGGGTGCCAAGACAGGCAGGGAGCCTCTCTTAACACCCCCACTGGTCACCTGATCCCCCTGCAGCAACGAGACCCAGAGACTGACATCCTGCAACCTGGGGTCGCGTCCCGCAGTTTGAAAACCACTGGCCTATGTGGACGGGGGGCTGAGTCGGTGTGAGGATTTGCAGAATCAGCGTGACATGTGAATTAGTCTGTTTGCAACTGTTCTGCCAGGAGCAGTAAGTAGCAACCAGGGAGGGGTTCTTCTTAGCCACTCAGGCCAGAACAGACTTGAACCCCACCCAGTGCCCGGGGAGTACTAAACACCACTCCTGGGCAATACTTCCCCCTCGCAAGCACGGAGTCTATATACCAAGGCTGTGTCTACACTGGCACCCTTTTCCGTAAAAGGGATGCTAATGAGACACTTCGGAATTGCAAATGCTGCGGGGGATTTAAATATCCCCCGTGGCATTTGCATGAACATGGCTGCCGCTTTTTTCCGGCTCGGGGTTTTGCTGGAGAAAAGCGCCAGTCTAGACGGGATCTTGTGGAAAATAAGCCCTTTTCCGGAAGATCCCTTATTCCTACTTCCGACTGGTCTCATTAGCATCCCTTTTCCGGAAAGGGGTGCCAATGTAGACACAGCCCAAAAGAAAACTTTGATAAGGGGACAGGCAGGCAGCCTTATTTGCCAAACACACCCCAACCATGGCTCACAAGCATGTGACCATGAACAAACTCCCATCCACAGTAAACTGAGCACTGTCTTTTGCCTCAGTGTCCCATCTTGTGGCATGAAAGTCCAATGAACAAAGGTTCCTTTAACACTCATCCCAAGAGTGTGCCTAGGGACCCCAGAATGCAATAGTGCCTGGGCTTCTGTTCAGACTCTGGGGGTTAAAACACCTAGGGTATGTCTACACTACCCTGCTATTTTGAACTAGCGGGGTAATGTAGGCATACCGCAATTGCAAATGAAGGCCGGGATTTGAATTTCCCAGGCTTCATTTGCAATTGCGGTATGCCTACATTACCCCGCTAGTTCAAAATAGCAGGGTAGTCTACCAAGAGGGGCACCCTGAGCAGCCATATGAGAGAGAAGAGACAGAGAACAGCCTGCAGCAGAGCTAGAGGTGCCATCTCCTTGACATGGGTAAAGGGTGAATCATTATGGAGGTGAATGGACAGTGACAGAGCTCAAGATGCCTTCTGCCTGCAGCATGGCTGAGAACAGTGGCTAGGGACTGGTGCACGACTGGAGCTCTCCCTGCATGCTTCAGTCACATGCCATGCCAGACACACATGAAGATTCTTACTCCTGTCATAGCTGCTTAGGCTGTGTTTCAGCCCCCAGATCTATAACTCACTTCAAAGTCTTTCTATACACTGGTCACAGACACACTCTAGAATGGGATGGGAGGAGATCTGGGACTATGTGGCCTTTGCCAAGTTCCTAGTGGAGATGAGTAAATATTGTCAATGTCATTAGCCCAGGGGAGATGAGATCCTCATGCACCAGGCACCCTTTGGACTTAGGAGTCTCTGAGGGGATATTTAGGACTCAGCCTCTGGACTCGAGAACCAGCTGCTCTAGATGTAAGTGTGGATCTCACCAGCAGTCCGTCCCAGACCAAGCGATGGAGGAAGTATCGCTCCTCTGGGCCCTGGCTCTGCTCCCAATTGCAGCTCCAACAACTCTGAGTCCGTAAGGTTTTCCACCCTTGTTTGCTGGGGCTCTGTAGACAGACGTGTCAATGCAGGAAGAGTAGGGGAGGGGGCTGAATTGGCTGGATCCCAGTGAGGAGCTTCCGAAGGGCCTTATTTTCAGAGATGCCAAGCACCTGCAGCTCCAAGTGACTTTAAAGTTGTGGCTGCTTGGCACCTATGAACACAAGCAGAACTATAACCAGGTATTGTAGCCCTCGGGGTGAGCCAGAATATTTGTGCCATCTGCTGGTTGGTTTTTTTTTTATCATTTTTCTGCCTCTGCAATTTTGCACTCTGGGTGGCTTCCCAACTTGCCCACCATGGTCATGGCCCTGAGAATGAGGCCTTAGGTGTTGGCCTTGTTCACTTTTTTCCACACCATTCTTGATTTTATAGACCTCTATCATACCCCTCCTTAGTGGTCTTGTATCTCAGATGAATGTTCCTAGACTTTTTAATTTTTCCTCACATGGGACCAGTTCCACTCGCTCACTCCTTTTCTTGCGCTTCTTTGCATCTTTCTGATTCTAGAATACTGGGGTGTGGGATTTGGGTTTTTTTTAAGATGGGGCAACTCGATCTGCATATAGTATTCCAGGTGTGGATGTGTATCATGGATTTATATAGTCGCATTATGGTATTTTCTGTTTTACTATCTGTCCCTTCCCTAAAGGTTCCTAACACAATTAGCTTTTTTCACTTTTTCTGCACACTGAGAAAATGTTTTCTCCCCTTTTTACAGATCATTTATAAATGTGTTGAACAGCACCTGTCCTCGGACAGATCCCCGGGTGATCCAGCTCCATTTCCCTCTCTCTTTTTTGAAAACTCACAATTTATTCCTATCCTTTGTTTCCTGTCTTTTAGCCAGTTACTGATCCATGAAAAAAACTTCCCTCTTTTCCCACAACAGCTCACTTTCCTTAAGAGCCTTTGGGAGGAGGCCTTATCAAAGGCTTTCTGAGGGTATGTCTACATTTCATTCCTCTTCTGAGAGAGGAATGCAAATGCAGACACCAGAAATTGCAAATGAAGCAGGGATTTAAATATCCCGTGCTTCATTTGCATAATTGCGTTATGGTGCTATTGCTAAATAGCGCTATTTCAAGAGAGAAAATGGGGTTATTTCGAGATAAAACCCTTCCCTAGAAATAACCCTTAAACCTCATTTTTTGAGGAGTAAGGGTTATTTCAAGGGAAGGATTTTATCTTGAAATAACCCCATTTTCTCTCTTGAAATAGCGCTATTTAGCAATAGCACCATAACGCAATTATGCAAATGAAGCACGGGATATTTAAATCCCTGCTTCATTTGCAATTTCTGGTGTCTGCATTTGCATTCCTCTCTCAGAAGAGGAATGAAATGTAGACATACCCAGAAAGTCCAAATACACTGGATCCCTTTGCCCCCTTGCTTGTTGTTCATCAAAGCATTCTAGTAGATTAGTAAGGCATGATTTCCTTTACAAAAGCCATATTGACTCTTCTCCAACATATTGTGTTCATCTATGGCTATGTCTAGACTGCATTGTTTTGTCTGGATACCAAAAGTATCCTGAAAAAGCAACACTGCATCCAAGGAACATGTCCGCTTAAAAAAAAATTTTTTTTTTGAAGAACGGATGTGCTCTTTTGCCATCCCTGTAAACCTTGTTCTATGAGGAAGAAAGGATGGCTCGAAAGAACACTTTTTTTTTCCAAAATTTGGCACCGTGTAGACACACCAAATTTCGAAAAAGCCTATTTCAAAATTAAATTAAAAAAAGATACACAATTTGTGTAGCACAAATTGCATATCTTTTTCTGATTTAAGAGTTCAGTCTAGACGTAGCCTGTGTGTCTGACAACAGAATTCTTTACTAGAGTTTTAACCAATTTGCCTAGGACTGAAGTTAGGCTAACTTGTAATTGCCTTCTTTAGAAATAAAGTGTTATGTTAGCCACACTCTAATCATTAGGTAGAGAGGCTGACTGAAGGAATAGCTTACATAACATACCACAGTTATTAGTTCTGTGATTTCATATTTCGCTTCCTTCAGAACTCTTGGGTGGATGCCATCTGGTTCTGTCTACAAATTTATCAATTTGTTTCAATACTACTTCTATCAAACACAAGTCTGGGACAATTCCTCAGATTTGTCACCTAAAAAGAAAAGCATAGGTGTGGGGAACTCCCCCACATCCTCCACAGTGAAAACTGATGCAAAAAAAAAATTAATTGAGCTTCTATGCAATAGCTTTGTCTTCATTTGAGTGCTCTCCTTTAGCACCTTGATCCTCAGTGGTCTCCAGGCTTCCTGCTTCTGACATGCTGAAAATTGGTTTTGCTGTTAGTTTTTGTGTTCTTAGCTAACTCTTCTTCCACTCCTTTCTTGGCTTACCTAATTACACCTTTATACTTGCCTGGCCAGAGTCTGTTTTCTTTTCTATTTTCCTCATTAGGATTTGACTTCTAATTTTTAAATGGCACTTTTTTGCTTCTGCTGCTTAGTCAGGCTGACATTTCTGGGGCTTCTTACTGTTTTTTTAATTAGGACTTGGGGAATGGATTAGATCAGTGTTGTGCAAACTGAAGAAGGGCAAGAGGTTCTCTGGCAGAGAAGGGAGAAATTGGGATCCCATGGGTCCTGCAGGACCCACTGCCATAATAGCAGGAGCAGGATAAAATGAGAGTGGGTATGGTAGGAATGGGATGGGATCTGGGTTATAAACATAGTCCTCTCACTCTGCAAACATGAACTCCCTGGCCAGCACCTGCAGTTCTCTGGCTGCCCATTTCTGAAGGCAGCAGTGCTGCCAGGAGCCGCACAGAAGTAGGGGATTATTTCACACTGCAATTAATGAAGGGAGGAACAGCAAGTTATGTGACCTGAAAGGGGGGAGCAACTGGAAACGTTTACGCACACTGGACTAGACTGCTCTGCCTTGAATCAGATACCCATCTCTTTGCTAGATAGCCTCATGCCAGTGTATTGTACCATGCTCCGATTCCATAGTGGGCATGCTGCCTCCTTCTGGAATGGGAAGGGAATTGCACCACATGTTTCTCCAATCTGGGTCTATGAAATCTCGCTGATCCATGGTGCCTTCCTCAATAGCAGCCTGCCTACCTCAGACACTGAATTACCCATCCTCCCTAGTCCCCATCCTCTCCTCCGCCTCCTCTCTCCTAGTTACTATGTGGTGGTTATCCCAGCCATCATTCACCATCCCGGCCATGAGAAGGTCTGTACCCACCTCATCTCCTTCCCTGAGACTGTCCACCTGTCGGTCACGTTGGAGATGCAAAACCAGAATCACACCCTGGTGGAGAAGGACGTGGAGAAGCCTGGAATCTTTGAGTGCATCAGCTTCAAGGTGAGCTCAGATGTGGCTCCTGGTTCTTCACTCTCACCTCAGAGTCAGAAAAGATCCTTGTGCCCCTAGTGTATGCTAGGCTATGCCCCCTGCTGTGCACGATGCTACCTGGAGTTTTCTGGTCCATCCCTCCTACCCCTTGGCAGATCATCCAATAGTCTAACAGATTAGAAAGATTATACCAAAGGTTACTATGTTGCCCAGTTTCATGCCATTTCATCCTGCTGGAGAACCAGCCATCTCCCTCCGTGGTGATTACACTGTTCAAATTTGTGTAGTTCATTATTCAATTGACTGTATACAGACTAGGCAAGGAGTCCTGTGGCACCTTATAGACTAACCGAAGTGTTGGAGCATAAGCTTTCGTGGGCAAAGACCCCACTTTGTCAGGTGCATCTATTGAAGTGGGTCTTTGCCCATGAAAGTTTATGCTCCAACACTTTGGTTAGTCTATAAGGTGCCACAGGACTCCTCGCCGCTTTTGCAGATTCAGACTAACATGGGTACCCCTCTGATACTTGTATACAGACTAAGTTCTTTTAACTTTCCCTCTAGATGCTTAGAGTGTGCTTCTGTCCTCAAATGTGACTCGATAAAATGGTTCCTTTCTTACACAGTAACACACCAGCGTCTATGTGCATGCAGGACCATGGTTCCTGACTCTCCTAAAACATTGGCTCTGCTCCCTTTCACACCTGTTCTCCCCCCACACAGAGTCAGCACAGCACAGTGAGAGGGAGCTGGTCTGTCCTGCTCTGTGTATCAACAAAAGAATGACCAGGATCTCATTGCAGGGCTGTTATTGCCAGGGATGATGTGGCTGTGACTCTCAGAGCCCAGGGAGAACATGCATTTCACACCTTGCTACCTAGAAATGGAGTCCCTTCAATCTAGACTGAGACACAAATGTGCAGCCCAACTAAGCCATTCATACAGAGTCACCTTTCAGAGTAGAACTGCTCTCTGGCCATTTGTGGAGTTTGTCATTGTCTGTTCCTGGGCTTTATTGACATCACCCTGGTACTGAGATGCACTGAACAGTGCACAGTATAGTAGTCCTACCAGTGCTGTGCTAGATCCACATCAGACTACATTTGGCCTCTCTTCATCCCAGAATACCATCTCCAGGTCCTGCTTCCAGGTGGGTATGTGAGTGATGTTACCCTACAATAACAAATCAAGGTTCATCACTGCACGTGGGTGAGTGCCCAGTCTTCCACCATGCCCCCTCCCTGCTCCTTACTCTTCCAGATGTTCTTTGTAGGATCAGGTTGGCTAGACATAGGCTCCAGACACAGCATTTGGATCCAGATCTTCAGTGTCCTGCAGTCTGGGGACTGTTTTGCTCTGGGGCCATTTGCCATTCTGCTGTGTGAGAAATAAAATTTCACTGGTGTATTTGTTTTCTTTTCTCCTCTTGCCTCAACTCACCCATGCTACCCTCATTCTGCAGGTGCCAGCCTTAGTTACCGGGGAAAAGCAGTTTCATGAACCAGTAAGTCTCACATCTCCCAACCTGCTCTGTTCCCACAAACCAGAAGGCTCCAACCCCTGCTCCTTCCCTGGACTAGCCCAGCCAAAAGGAGGGAGAAGGAGATGATATGGGGGCAGGGATGAGATGGGAAAGGGAGGAGGAGGGGAAATGGGAACCCAGAAAGTAGAAGGCAGGAGGGCAAAGGTGGGGGAAGGCAGAACAAGAGAAACACAAGAATGGGTATGGGAGGGAGAAGAGGAGGAAAAACCCTGTGAAGGGAGAGGATGGAGAAAATAACCGGAATGGGGATTTTTTTTATGCATCTTCTCCTGGGAACACAGGGAGTGGCAGATAAAGATCCTGTCTCCCAGGAGCTGCCCTGGGTGGATTGGCAGAGTAGCTTCCTCGCACAAAGTGGCCTTGAGTTATCAGTCCTGCCATCGAGGTGTCAGTTTCCTTTGTGTCTCTCAGAAAGATGTAGTGGCCTTTGTGCGTGCAGTGATCCGCAGTGGGGACAGGGTGAGCTACGAGGGCCGCAAGAAGGTGCTGATGAAAAGGCGGCAAGAGACGATCATTGTAGACACAGACAAGGCCTTCTACAAACCTGGAGAGACAGGTAAACCTGGCAACAGGAAGGTGGTGGTTGGGGGCGGAGACTTGGACTTGGACTGTCCACAGCAGGGGATGGTTATAAGAAGCTATGTAGGACAGGGCCCACTCCCTAAGTCACCAGGTGCTGCCGTGAGTGGGATGGGTGTGTCATCACAAGATACTCTCCCCTCTGAGTCAGTCTGTATTGACCCCAGCACTCCAGTTTGTGGTTAGGGGGCACTGTAGGGAAGGCTGTGCTATCTCTCTGGCCATGGCTACTCAGGACGTGGGACATCCCTGGAGCTTTTGCCAGAGTATTACTGTATTAGAGCAGCACCTAGCAACCCCACACAAAAGATCTAGTCTGTTGTGTGCTGGACAAACACAGGGAGAGGCAGTCCCTGCCCCCTCCCCAATTATAGTCTACGTAGACCAGAAAGATAAGTGAGAGGGGCCAAGAGGAGCTGCTGTTTTACAGTAAACAAATAGGTTTATTCCTGGGCACATGTAATGAGTATAGTGGGGCTCTGCTCCACATAACCCATCATGGGCAGAAGTGTGCTATTGCAGAGGGATCTGCAGCAAAGGGTCAGTAGCTCAGAGGACAAGAAGAAGGGAAGGATATCTGAAAATAAGAAGGGAGGTTATCCAGAGATCTGTTGCCCATTGAGTAAATTGTTGTGCTTCCTGTATTCCTTCAGTGAAGTTTCGAATTGTGAGCCTGGATGAGTCTTTTAAGGCCATTGATAAACTGGTGAGTATCCCTCTGGCTTTCCAGGAAGTAGGGGCCATCAGTGTGCAGAGTGTACCAAGACTCAGCAGATAAACAGAGTGATACCCCCAGGAATTACACTTGTGAGAGACACCTCATCTGCCCCATGCCCCCTAGTAACAGAAAGCAGGGCTGGGATAGCTCTTGTTGTATTAATTTAGCTCATATAAAGGGTCCAGAGAGTCAAAGGTGTTAGCAAATATAATATCAAATAAGGTTTGAGATTCAGCATTTACTGAGACCTCAGGCTGCTGATTACCAAGGCAAACACACCATTGAAAGTCCTACTAATCTTTCACTCAAGATCCAGAAAAGAGAAAGACAGTTAACACTTTTGAAATCTAAAGTAGCAAGTAAGGCTTTCATTTAAATAGTATCTCCTGTTCCTTTCCCTTTCACTGCAAAGAGTTTTTAGAAAGAAACCCCTCTGATAGGATTTTGATTTTATCAAAAATGGTAACAGCTGTTCTTTTTGTGAGAAAGAGAAGTTAGCTGAAATAGTGTCCGAATGGCTAAGCAGCAGTTTGGCAGAAAAGGACCGGGGATTACAGTGGATGAGAAGTTGGATATGAGTCAACAGTGTGTCCTTGTAGCCAAGAAGGTTAATGGCATATTAGGATGTGTGACCGTGCCCCCGTCCTCAGTCTGTCCCGGGGTACGGTCACCCGTCCTTGTAAGTCAATAACCCCGCTCCGGGAGTCAGTTCCGACTATGTCTGTCTCTCCGTCCGAAGGGAGAAGGAAGGGGGGCCGGGGCCCGCCCTCACTCATGGGCCCCAGCCCAGGGCCCTAAGGATGGAGACTACTCTCGAGTCTCTGTCCGACTGGCGGGGGTGTGCCCCTAAACACACCAGCCCACGGGCTACTTCGCCGCCCTGCCCTGGGCTACTTCCTTCCTCCCCCTACCCCGTCCTCGGGGAGTCGGTACTCATGACGTTGGGTCCCCCCCGTGGGGACTGTCGTGAGTGCATCCGGGTCTCCTTCCATGTCGGGGAGCCCCCGCGCTCTCCTCGTCCTCTCCTTCCTACGGTGGCCGGCAAGCTTTTAAAATCCCCGCCGACCTGGGAGGGGTTTACGTGCCCCGCCCCCTTGATGTCTGACGCAGTGCGTCCTTTTATCCCGTCTCGCTGGGGGGGCTGAGTTCAACTCAGCTGTGCCAGGACGTCCCTCCAGCTGAGCGGCGGCGTCCATCAGCTGAGTTGCGGTGCCGCTCAGCTGAGCCATGGCGCGAGAGTAACTGGCGCACCGGCAGTAGGTGCTCCGTTGCCCCTCTGCAAGGGCACAAAGTCCCAGGGGTTGGGTGCGGGGTCTCGGCGCCCCGTCACAGGGTGCATTAGGAGGAGCATTGCCAGCAGATCCAGAGAAGTGATTATTCCAATTTATTCAGCTCCGGTGAGGCCACACCTGGAGTATTGCGATCAATTCTGGACCTCCCATTACAGAAAAGATGTGGACGCATTGGAGAAGGTCCAGCAGAGGGCAACAAAAATGAGTAGGGGGCTACGAAGAGAGCCTGAGGGATTTGGGCTTAGTTAGTCTACAGAAGAGAAGAGCGAGGGGGGATTTGATAGCAGCCTTCAAGTTCCTGAAGGGAGGTTCCAAAGAGGATGGAGAGAGGTTGTTCTCAGTGGTGACAGATGGCAGAACAAGGAGCAGTGGTTTCAAGTTACAGTGGGGGAGGTCTAGGTTGGATATTAGGAAAAACTATTTCCCTGGTGGGAAGGGAGGGTGAAGCACTGGACTGGGTTCCCTAGGGAGGTGGTGGAATCTCCGTCCCTAGAGGCTTTTATGTCCCAGCTTGACAAAGCCCTGGCTGGGATGATTTATTTGGGATTGGTCCTGCATTGGGCAGGGGCTTGGACTTGATAACTTCCTGATTCTATGAAGCTAGGCTGGAGCTGCTGCTGCTGAAGACAAAAGAAGACAAACACACAGCAGAAGGGAAGAGAAAAGACTACAGTAGTAAAGATAGAAAATACAGCTTCTGTCTCTGAGGTTTATTTTCACTTGCCACCTCAGTGACAGAAAACCACACAGGCATGTACACGGGCTTGTCAGCCACTCCACACCTGACAAGCTTTGATCAACGTCAGGCTGGTTAGGGCATTGCTTCTAGTTGCCTCTTTCTGGTCACAGGCTTACAAGGGTGTTGCAAGGCAGACTTGGTGGTTATATTTATGCTGTAGTACAAGACCTATGACACAACTGCAGCTGGCCCTGCTCAGCTGCTTGAGGCTCCCGGGGCTTGAGCTGTGCTGGAATATAGACACTCAGGCTTTTGTGAGAGGGGCAGGAGTTGAATGTCGACACTAGTCCCGAATCTGAGCCCAGGGAGCCCAGCTGAGTTGTGCTCTGTGACTCAGTGCCATTATTTTGGGAGTGCACTGCAGACAGAGCCATCATATGGATGGGATGGCTTGGGGTGGCAATTCCAGGCCCCGTACTTTGGGGGGTAGGGGGAACATGGCAGCTGCCGCAACTGTCTCATGGATGGGACGGGCCTCCATATCAATGATAGCTGCAAGGCCAAGGGTGGCCTGGGGGTTACCTGCAGGGCCTAGGGCTGGCAGCTGGGGCTGGAGCCCCCCCACCACTCACCCATGGTGGTGAGAAGTGGAGCAATGCAGCCCCAGCCCACTCCACTCTGCTCCTCTGACTGGAATCCATCTGGGAGATGGCCACGGAGCAGAGCCGAGCATGCTACTCCCCTTCCATAACTCCCGCCACCGCTGTGCCTGTGTGTGTGTGTGTGTGTGTGTGTGAAGGGGAGCCAGCCCCTGCTGCCACCTCATGCAAGGCCCCCAGGGCTGCACTAGCCCATCCCATATTATTCTGTCCATATTAGGCGGAACGTCCAACATACCAACTTCAGTTTATTGATTTTCAGTCTCACTGTCTTGTTTGCCAAGCATGATTGTAACACAGCGCTTAAATTACTTTACGGTTGAGCTCTCAATTAGGGTACATCTTTAGGCACAATGATCTGGGGAGCGCACCACACCAGCTCCTCCACTTTCCTGGCAAAGGGAGCAGCGATCTGTAACAGAGACCTTGGTGTGAAATGGGGACTGTCTGGGTCGGAGCTCAGGGGCAGGCTCTCCTGAGGTAGGGCCAGCATCTGGGTGCTAGTGACGCTGGATCTTGAGGATGTTGTTGCTCTCTCCAGAACGGTGACATTGTTTTTCTCTTCTGATTTGCAGTATCCCCTGGTGTTGCTGCAGGTGAGTGATCAGGAGCAAAGTTCCGGCAGCTTTCTTCTCTGCTCTGTCATGCCCTTTGCACTCTGGGAGTGCACCATGCTCTAGGCTGCAACTGCAGAGATGAGACATTTGCATCTTGGCTGTACCTTGCCCCAATACCCTGCTCCTGCAGTGTTACCAGTGATTAACGGTCAGGGGGAAAGTAGAGGTATGACATGAAGCAAAAGTAATTGAGGGGATTATCCAGCTATCAAAAATTAATAATAGCAAAAGAGGATGAGGCGACTTGGGAGAGGCTGTGATCCACCAGACAGCCCGTCCATCAGGGCAATGCCTGGGGCTGTGCTCCTTGCACTGCCCTCACTCACTCACTCACTGTTGTGTGTGAATGTGCTTCTCTGAGGCAGTGCCTGTTCCCAGCAGTGTATATCTGAATGCGTGTGATTAGGCATGTATGTTCCTGCACAGGATCCCAATGGGAACCGGATTAGCCAGTGGGTGGATGTGAAGCCAAGACAAGGCATTGTGGATCTCTCCTTCCCCTTGGCCTCGGAAGCTGCCCTGGGGAAATACACCATCAAAGCAGACAAGGATGTGCCCCAAAGGCTTGAGACAACCTTCACAGTGGAGGAATATGGTGAGACTTAGAAGGGAGTGTGCGAGAGCACTAGGAGCTGTGGAACGAAGCCTGTATGGGAGCTTCCCTGGTGGAGTCCATGGATTTCATTAGATTTCTCTGCTTATGCCTCCTTGCCCTGTCCAGCGCCCAGTGCCCTGCATGTCACTCACCCATCCATACACTGCTCTCCAGTCGAACCCGGGGGGGGGGGGAATCCGCCCCAATGCGTGTTCAGTCCTGAGCTCCAGCTACATACATGTACCAGTGTACAGACCTCCACAATGGGCCCCTAACCCTGATCTGGCAACTTCCTCAGCAATGCCATCTCCATGTTCATCCAGGCCAGGGCTTTACTTTCACACAATTGGTGCTGCCCTCGTCCAGAAGGATCCAAACCACCGGGGAGGGGGGAGGAGTGGAACTTGGTCACCATGTTGATTCAGTCCTGACTTCCTGCTCCCTTCCACCCCTCAACTCCTCTTTCCATGGGACTCATGGCTGATGGTACCTATTCCCTCTGACGGCTCAGTCACTCTCCATATCCTTCAAGTACTGGGCCAGTGTTTCTGAGATTCTGTTATGCAAACAGAGGGCAAGTTCCTCTAAGTATGCCCTCAACTTGCCCCTCACTCCCTTCTGCAGAGTTGCCCAAGTTTGAGCTGAAGTTAAACGTTCCACCACTGGTCACGACTTCGGAAGAGAAATTTCAGTTCACGGTTTGTGGCAGGTGAGTGGCACGGCTGTCGCTGTCCCACCCCTAACCACTCCCACTCCAGAGAGTGACCTCTTGCTGCCTGTGTAATGGAAGGCATACAAGGACCTCTAGTGGTGTCTCCTCTCTCCTATCAGAGGGGTAGTCATGTTAGTCTGAATCTTCAAAAGCAGTGAGGAGTCCTGTGGTACCTTAGACTAACAGAAGTGTTGGTGCATAAGCTTTCATGGGTGGGTCTTAGCCCACAAAAGCTTATGCTCCAACACTTCTGTTAGTCAATAAGGTGCTACAGGACTCCTCACCGCTTTTCCTCTCTCCTAGTGAGGGGGAGTGACTCAAATCACAGTCAGGGACAGATTCCTGCAACATCTGATCATTAAACACATCTAAAGAGCCACAAAGGAGCAATGTTTGAAACATGGAATTCCTGTTCTGTGACAAATTCCTGAATTAAAAAAAATTCCAGTGTTCCAAAATAGTCAAAACCTATATGCATTTACCCCTGGACAGGTGCTCCCAAATTTTCATTTGGACCATTTTGAAATGTTTCCAAGGCTCCCCAAGCTGCCCTCAACCCTGGCAGCCCACCAGGTAGGCAGCCAGACTGCTCCTAGGCCTCAGTGGAGATACTGATTTCAAAGGAGCCTTTCATGCAATAAGGAGCCATTTAAAGGGGAGGTGGAGCAAGTGAGGTGGCTTTGGGGCAGTTTATCCTGCAGACATGTCTGTTCCTCTTCTTTATTTAAGGGGGGTGGGGGCGGGCAGTGGCCAGAGAGAAGATGCTTTTAATATCCATCTTCTCCCTGGTGCCCTTCATTCTGCTCTTTTTCGGACCCCCCTCTGGAGTTTTCTGTCCTTCTGATCCAGGTACACATATGGGAAACCTGTTCAGGGGAAAATAGAGGCCAAGCTGATTGGGCAATCAGACTTTGAGACAGAAGAAAACGTGACATTGTCTACAATAAAAAAGGAGTATATAGACCAGGTGAGCAGATGAGGGACGGGAGAGGAAAGGCACCTGCAAGAACAGAATGTCAATGCCTCTAGGCATTACTAATGTTCCCTGCTCCAGCTAGGCTGATTATTATTATTTCTCCTGGCTCACCCAATCCTCTGGCCTGCTATCTGGCCACCTGCGTTACTGCAGTAAAGCATTTATGTCTCCCGCCTCTGCCAGAAACATATCCTGGATGGTTGGGGGGAAGTACTGTGGGCCTCGCTTGGCCTGTGTGATTGGGGAGGGCTCATTTCTTGGGAGACAGGAGTAGGGAGGTGAACGGACCAACAGGCTGCAAACAGAATGGCTGTGTTAGAGAAGTCCTTTATAATGTGCCACACTATTCCACAGGAGGAATTTCTTCTCCAATGCCCCCTGTCAGATCCCATGAAATCATATTATGGGCCCCTTGCAGCTCACTTCTCATCAAACCAGATCAGACAACCAGTTGTGCCATCTTTTCCAGATGTCTGTTTCCTCCCATAATCAAACAGATTACTGATCCATCTCAGCTGCCTGGCATCTTGGATCAGACAGGGGCCAGCACAGGCTGCTTCATAGCTAACCCCCTATGCAATGCACCTTAATATGCAATTGATTCCATGTTCTTCTTCTTGCAATGGCTCCAGATCCTCCTCACTCACCTACTAGTCAAACGAAGGTTTTCTAAATGCCAGCACTCCGAGCAGAGACTGGCAGCCCAGCTGGGTCATGGCAGCTCGAAAGGCATGTCTAGACTACATGGTTCCGTTGACGGAGCCATATAGATGAGGTTTCTACACATAAGGAAATGAAGCGGCAATTTAAACAGTCGCTGCTTCATTTGGCTGCCTCACTGTGCCGATCAGCTGTTTGGCAGCACAGCGCGGTAGTCTGGACGCTCCGCGGTCAATAAGGGAAGCCCTTGTCGACCGCCCTGTTATGCCTCGTCTATGTCTAGAAACCTCATCTACATGGCTCCGTCGACGGAGCCGTGTAGTCTAGACACACCCTAACAGCCCAGCCAGCAGTGACGCCCTGCAAGTGGAGCCCAGTTGCCAATCAGGGACAAGGCAGCTTGGGTTCCAGCTCTCTGCTGTATGGGCTCCGCAGGGCCCAGAGCGCTAGCCACAAACCAAAGTCATAACACTTCTTTGCCCTTTCCCCTGGCTCTGAGGGGCTGACCCCTTCGAGAGGGCCATCGATTTCCAAGGCCAGAAGGGAGCACAGATCATTCAGTCTGATGTCCTGTGTGTCACAGGCCACTGCCACAACCCAGTACATGGGCATTAAGCTCAACAACTGTAATGCAACAAAGCATTTTGGCCTTAAGAGAGTAAACTGTTATGTGCCACATGCAGAGAATGGGAGAGACCCTCTACCAATACTACCTGGCTGAGCTCTAACTAGGTCAAGCTGTCAAACCTGTCTTGCTACAGCTTTGGCAGTGGAATCTGGTCCCAGGTCTCTCTAGGGATGTGTGTGAGTTCTCTGATAAATGTATCTTGTCTACAACCATGGATATCAGTACCTGTCTAATAAATGTCATTCCTCTTCTCCCTAAATGAGGAGTCCACCGGGTTTTTGATACAATGTACATAATTTCTAAACAGCCAGGAAACAGAGGGGAAGATTGTTATGGCTACCCCACATCCATAAACAACAGCCTCACTAACATCTCTCTTTCTTTTTTCTCTCTCTCCATCCATCTCTACACCCCAGACGGACAAGAACGGTTGTGCCATTTTTACAGTGGATATGGATGAGCTCCAAGTAAATAATACTGCCTTCGGGACTCGTCTTCTAATTGCAGCAGAACTGGAAGAAGAAGGAACAGGTGCCCAGGGGAGGGGAAGAGGAGAGCAGAGGGAGACACGGCCACTGGCCTGTGCTTTTTTCCATAAAGCCCTTGACTGACTGCATTTGTGTTTGGTTGCCTCCACAATTCTCCATTTCCAGGACAGGATGTTTTTTAAGCTCAGATCTTTGAGCCAGTCTTTTGTGAAGCCTCAGCTACTTTGGCTGTGTCTACACTGGCGCGTTCTTGCACAAAAACGGCCACTCTTGCACAAAAACATGCCGCCTGTCTACACTGGCCACACATTCTTGCGCAAGTAAACTGAAGTTGTACTGTAGAAAATCAGGGCTTCTTGCACGAGAATTCTGACACTCCCTCTCAGGAATAAGCCCTCTTGCGCAAGAGCTCTTCCAGAAGAGGCCGATGTAGACAGACAACATGAATTTCTTGTACAAGAAGCCCCTATGGTTAAAATGGCCATTAGAGCTTTCTTGCGGAAGAGAGTGTCTACACTGCCATGGATGCTCTTGCGCAAAAGCACATGCCAGTGTAGACATAGCCTTCCAGTCTCTGGTATCCTCAGGGGGACCAAATTCCATTGTGCCTTAGTCATGGTACCTCTCCGGGTTCACTAGACTTGTGCCACACCAGTGATTATATTTCCTCTATCTCGCATCCCTGCTCACTAGATTTCTTACTTCCCCAAAGAGTCTTCAATAACAGTCACCAACCAGCCACTAAAGTGAGCTCCAGCTTCACGAAACATGGCTTTCAATAAGACATGGAACCATATGTAACCATAGGATAAGCAGCATCTCATCCCTGTGCTCCCAGTCATTCATAATCCCTAAGCACAGTCCCTCTGATAATTTCCTGTTCTACTGACTAGATAGTGTTGGTCACATGTTGCTGTTGCATCCCCAGTGCCAATGCTGTTTCCCTCTAATCTGCCCCAAATGCTACTGCTAACACGATCTTTCTCATCCATCCATCAGAGCATGCCACGCTCACAATCTGCACCAGCTGCCCCTTGCTCATTGGACTGAGCTCTAGCTCATGCCGTCCAGCCCATGCCTCTGACAGCCTCTCCGTTATTTCTTTGTCAGCTCTCTACCTCCCCCTTTTGTCATTTCCACACCTTTATCCGCACAGTCCCCTGTCCTTGGAATAATGCCCCAATCCCAATCTGGCTGCCTCCCAGCCTCGCCTTGGTCAGATTCCTCCTGCAGACTTGCTTCTTCTGAATGATTGGCAAACATTAACCTTCTTCAGTCACAAGTCCTCTGCAGGCCAATGGCACATAGGAGGGAAGACATGGGACAGTAAACACATCCTACTAAATAACACAGGCCCTTAGCTGTCCCAGTGCATCTGGTAATCAACTGCCTTTGTTGGTATGACAAAGTCACCCCATGATGGCTGGTTACAGTGACCAGAACAACCTCTTACCTACCTGCAGGTAACAGAACCACTCCTTTAGCTCTAATAATAATAGCTGTTGCTGAAGGTAGTGGGTTCAAGTCTCAGTGTCCATATATGTGTGGCCCAGGCTTGTTCTGTATCCAACATTTAGGCTGTAAGCTTCACAATGGTATACTTATATATATTGTTTGTCTCCTGTAATGCTGAATGCTTAACAAATGCAAAAAATGGCACCTTAGGCTGTGTCTGACTACATTCCTCTTTTGACAGAGGGATGTAAATTAGACACTTCAAAATTGCAAATGAAGCCGGGATTTAAATATCCTGTGCATCATTTGCACAATCACGCAATGTACTCATTTTGAGATGTACAGGATCTTTAAAAAAGCCTGCCATTTTTGACTGAATCACGTCTAGACCGTGGTTTTACTTTTGAAATGGCGCTTGTTCAAAAGAGCACCATTATGCAATTATGCAAAGGAAGCATGGGATATTTAAATCCCTGCTTCATTTGCAATTTTGAAGTGTCTAATTTACATCCCTCTGTCAAAAGAGGGATGTAGTCTAGACACAGCCAGAGACTAATCAAAGTATATAGAATCACGATCTTTCAAGGGCCCACTTGATCAATCCTAATGAGATTAAATAAGTGGGCTACACGTGTCCCGTATACAGCTTTTGATTTGGAAATGCAGATGTTAACAGCAGGAGAAATTGTATTTGTAATGTGTCAACCAGTAAACGTCTTTGTTTAAGTCCAGGGTAACAGTGTCAAATCCTAGAATCATAGAACACTAGAACTGGAAGGGACCTCAAGAGGTCATCAAATCCAGTCCCCTGCCCTCATGGCAGGACCAGGCACCATCTATTCTAAACTGTCCCTGACAGGTGTCTGTCTAACCTGCTCTTAAATATCTCCAGAGATGGAGATTCCACAACCTCCCTTGGCAATTTATTCCAATATTTGACCACCCTGACAGTTAGGAAGTTTTTCCTAATGTCCAACCTAAACCTCCCTTGCTGCAATTTAAGCCCATTGCTTCTTCTCCTAGATAAATCTGTAGATAAATTCCAGTTCTTCAGACTCTCTTTGTAATTGGTGAAATTCCTCTGTAGAAGAATGCCTACTTTTAAATCCATGATTGAGTGCCTAGGCAGGTTAAAATGTTCCCCTACAGGTTTCTGTGTGTTACAGTTTCTGATATATGATTTGTGTCCATCAGTTTCTGATATATGATTTGTCTCAGAGACTGTCCAGTCTGGCCAATGTACATGACAGAGGGGCATTGCTGGGATTTGATGGCATAGATCCTATTAGTGGATGTGCAGTTATATGAACCTCTGATGTGGTTTAGGCGGTTAGGTCCTGTAATGATGTCACTTGTATAGATGTATGCACAGAGCTGGGAATTGAGTTTGTTGCAGGGGTTTGGTTCCTGGGTGAGTGTGTCTGAGGCATGATGTGTAGCTGCTGGAAAGGATTTGCTTCACATAGGGGGAGGGGTTTGCCTATAGGCAAGGATTAGCCTAAATCCTGTGAGAGTGATAGGTGGTAGATTGTAAATGATGCACTGGAGGGGTTTAAGTTGGGGGCTGCAGGGATAACCAGTGGTGTTCATTATTTTCCTTGTTGGGCCTGTCTTGAACTAGTTAACTTTTGGATACTCTATCAATCTGTTTCTGCGCTTCCCCAGCTAGGTATTTAAGTTCTAAGAATGCCTGAGAAAGATCTTGTAGGTGTCTGTCTCTGTCTGTGGGACTGGATTAAATCTCGTTGTATCTTAGGGATTGGATGTAGGCAATCAATCATGTGATGTATCCTGGATAGAAGCTACAGGCACTTAGGTAAGAATAGGAGTCAGTAGATTTCCAGTAAGGGATGGTGTTTATGTGACCATCATTTATTTGTACTGTAGTATCCCGGAAGTGGATCTCTTGTATGGATTCCAAAAAGAACGAGATAAATTCATGGAGGTTAGGTCCATCGATGGCTGTTAGCCAGGATAGTTAGGAATGGTGTCCCCAGCCTCGGTTTGTCTGGAAATGGATGACAGGAGAGGGATCATGTGAGGGTTATCTGTTGTGTTCACTCTTTCTGGGGCACCCGGCATTGGCCGCTGTCAGCAGACAGGATACTGGGCTAGATGGAACCTTGGTCTGACCCAGTATGGCCACTCTTACATCCTTATGATTGGTCCAGGCTAAGGTTCATGGTGGAGTGGAAGTTGTTGAAATCCCTGTGGAATTCTTCAAGGGTCTCCTTCTCGTGGGTCCATATGATGATGTCATCAATGTAGCATAAGTAGAAGAAGGGTGCTAGGGGGTGAGAGCTGAGGAAACGTGTGAGATCAGCAATAAAGACTTTGGCATATTGCGGGGCTATGCGGGTGCCCTTAGCTGTGCCGCTGACCTGAAGATATAAATTGTCCCCAAACTGGAAATAGCGGTAGGTGAGGACAAACAAATGCATCTATGGTTAACAGCTGTCTCCTCTCTCCACCCAGGAGCCACAGACACGGATACAGCCTTTGTTGCTATCGCTTCCAAGATGGTAGAGGTGAACTTTGTCAATCTCAACCCCTTTTACAAGCTCGGCTTTCCATACACTGGGAAGGTAACACACATTCTCCCTTCTCTTACCATTCCCCCTTCCTCTTTAGAAGAGTCACTGCTACATACTTTGGAGACATGCATGGGGTAGGGAGAGAATAATATGGCTGGGAATAAACTGTGTGAAAAATGCTCAGCTGGTGTAAACTGGTGCAGCTCCATTGACACCAATAGTGCTATGTTGACTTACGCTCTCTGAGGATTAGATTCTCTGTGCCACCTTTATGGGAAATTCTGACCCCTGCCCCATTCCCCCATCTCTCCCAGCCGAGTCACCAAGCACGGGGAGTTAACAGTTTGGAAGATGGATTCTTTGTTCTCTGGAGGTCCTCTGGGAGCATTTCTCAATGCTCTCCAACAAGGAGTCTGTCTCTGTCAGGACATGCATGCAGGAGATGGGGTTACATTGGAAAGATCTCTGGGCATTCACGTCAGGCCTAGTGTGGTCACTTCTGACCCCAGTGCCCTAGTCTGTCCTGCAGTGAGGGGTGTGGATGGCTCAATGGGGGATGCTTTTCTCTCAAGGTCAGTACTGGCCTAGTGCCCCAGTGTGGGCTAGGAGGAATTGTGAAGCTGAAATTTTGGATGCGATTTAGAATGGGAACTCCAACCATTTCTAATGTTTAAAGACTAACACTATACTATTATTGAAAGGAAAAGATGTGTTAAGCTCAATAGCCAGGAGCTTGATTTTTCTTGTCCTCAAAATCCCCTCAGAAGTCTCTGCTGGATGCATTGCCTGTACATTCTTGTCCTACGCTCCCACGTATTTTTACTCCAGTGCAGCTGCTGATGTTGTTTCAGCAATGGATATTAGGACCCCTATCTCCCACCTGTAACCTGTCAAGCACTTATGAGGCTTTAGGTGGAAAGGGTTAGTAGTAAGCACCCAAACTCACCCAGTTTCCAGCATGTAGAAGGTATTCTGTCTCCCAACCCTCCAGCACAGTGATTACTGGAACAGCTGGTGCTTATTTCCCTTTTTGCTCTGCAGATGCACTTTGCCATCAATGAAGTTCCCATCCAAAACCACACTGTCTACCTGACTGTGGATGTCAATGATAAGGAGACGCACCTGCCGTATGTGACAGATGAGAAGGGGGAAGTCCACTTCACCCTAGACACCTCGGAGTGGAACAACACGCTGGTGTCGCTGAGGGTGAGTCACACGGGTGGACAAAGCAGGGTCAGAGCGAGGGGGACCTGGAGGAAGAGCAGAGAAAGTGGAAGCAGGCTGTGGAACTTGGAACTCCTGGCTCCCACTGTTCTCGTCTGTCTGCCTTGGCAGCTTTAATGAACCCTTCCTGTTATCTGCCAGCCTTGACCAGGAAGACCTGTAACTCCATCGCTCCAGTTCAGACCGATGTGCCAACAAAGGAAATGTTTCCTTTGGGCAGGAGGAGCCTCCTTAAGCACAATTCCACCTCCTGCCACAGCCTCCTATTTCCCCTCACTAGCAGTAACCATGGCAACATTCTCTACTCTCATTGCTTCTTGCCCTTGCTTAGACTTAAACTCTGCCTACCACATGCTTATCTGTCACTAGATTGGCACCAATGTCCCAGAAGGAAATGTGCCAAAGACCCTTGCCTGATCCCTGTTGCCAGCCATTCCCCACAGTCTGGAGATGGATTGGAACAAGTGCTCCATCATGGAAGTGCTCAGCAGAGTCTTTCCTGACACCCCAGCTCCATTCTGTTCCCCTTGGACTGCAAACAATGACATCCAGGTGAAAATTCCCAGAGCCTGTTTCCAGTACTGGAGCTCTGGACTAGGTATGTTACATTTAGAGTAACTGGCTAATCAAATAGTCAATGCATTTTGCATCAGCTATTTAGTTAGTCAATAAGGGCACCTCTGCCCCAGGGCTACACTTCAAAGGTGAAAGAGCTGTGGGGAGCATGGGGCCATCAGGGGACTGTCCTGTGCTCCCAACGGCATTTAAAAGTGGCAGCGCCGTATGGAGTCCAGGGTTAGTTGGGGAGCAGCCTTGCCTCCGCTCCGCCACTTACTGTCTCTTTATGATAGAGGCAGTGGGGTGAGGGGGAAGCAAACTAGTCGACTAGTATGTCAACTATCCAATACACATTTGTTTATCAGATAGTCGACTAGTAGTTCACATCCCCACTCTGTGCACTAAATTCTCTGCAGCAAACTGGACCTGGCTTCCAGGGCAAGGCCCACCCCTGAGGTTCCTTCTGCACTTTGGGTCAGACAGCTGGAAATATCAGGGCTGCTGCAGGCCATTTTTAGAACTGGAAGCATCCCCTCATCCAGGTCATTAATAAAGATATTGAACAAAACCAGACTTAGAACCGAACCTTGGGGCACTCCGCTAGAAACCAACCGCCATCGGGATGGTTGCTTGCTACGCATTGGGATGGTTTCTTTCTGTGCCTTCAATAAGGCTTCAATACTGCCAGCTGTCCTGGACTTCTTTCCCCTTCATATTAGCATCCAAGGGGATTCTGCCCATCAGGTCGCTGATGGTGTTCCCTTCTGGTTTCTTCCTTCAAAATCATTCACCACCGCAGAGCCTGTGGAGAGAGCCTGAAAGTGATTACTTACCTCGATAGCATTGAGAGATTCCTGTTCTGGCCTTTTTCCCCTTCTAGAAGTTACATGCTGCCAGTTCTCTTCCTGGTCCCATACTGCCCTCTCTGGCTCTTCTGCCTGCTGTGCTTACAGGATTAAACGCTGCCTTCTATCGAGGAAGTCTTCATCCTCTCTGATTGAACGTAGGGTCGACACTTGGGCCTCCAGTCCTCTACTTTTTTCTTCCAAAATGGCAACCAGCTTGCACTTGGTTGCTTGCTCACTGCTTTATATAACCCTGGACTGCCTGAAAGTCCCTCCCCCTACCAAGGCTCAGCCAATCAGCAGAGGCTTCTACAATTCAAACTTTAATTAGAAGCCAACAGTTTCCACCTCAGTAGCTGAGAAGCTGATAGAAACAGGCAGAGAAAGAGGTGACACAGATTGCCTGGACTGACTATGGTGTGGTGGCCCTGGGAGAAGGCTAGAGAGAGATGTTGGGTTGAATGCTGGCTTAAAGATTTGGGGCTCTGAGCAAGGAAATTATCTCCTATGGTTTGGTTTCTCTTGTGTTCATGAAAACTGGACTTTGTACATTGCTTGAAACACAAAACACTGCATCAAAGAAATGCTCTATGTCAGTTTCTGCTCTCAAGTGGAATATGCTACAAGAGTCCACATTTTTGGCTAACGGCTTGGGTCAAAGCAGGTAACACAGTTTTCATACTAAATTCAATTTATTATTCTCAGCCTTATAATTTTCATTTTTCAGTCTGCTGTAGATTGATACTGAGGACTAAAGTTCCCTCTACTGTTTTCTGTCTCTGTGCAGAATCAATTTTATGTGCACTGAGGCATGTGCAGATGTGCACCACTAGTAGGAACACATGCTGCCAGCTATGGGCACTGTGGGTGCTCTGCTAATCAGCTTGGTGGTATTCGATTCTCTCCAAGGTATTTGATTCTCTCCAGGGAAGCCACCCAAGTGCACACCTTACCAGGAATGCTTCTGAGGACACATATGTGCATTAGAAAAATTTTAGAGAAAGCTGGAGTTTTGGGTAGCTGAACAGGGTTAACTGTGACTTTTGGCACCCGGGGAGGTAGAAAAGGTGGGCTGGGATTATGGGACAAATACATTTGCTGGATATTTATGCAATGAAATAGTTCACAATGGTGCCATGTGACTCTTGCCTTACGTGTAGGTTTCTGAGTTAATACATTATAGCAATGAATGGGGGAGTTCATACCTCTCTGGATGGCTGAAGTCTCAGGCTGACATTGCAGACTACATGCAAGTCATATTTTCAGTTTTCTCTGAAATCAAAAGTGTTCACAACAGAGTTAAAAAGAAAAAGGAATTGCATACTCTGGAATCTAGTTCAGCACCTGGGGGTAGATTCTGCTGTAATCTCAGCCTCTGTTGGTTAGGTGGGAGCCTGGACATACACTCTGGGCACTGCATTGAAAGTTTCCAGCAGCACCCCAATTACAGGCTTCTCCATTGGTTAACCCTGCCATGCATTTTTGCTCTGAAGGGCAGATACTCCATTGTGAACATAACCAAGGAGGATCTCTACACATATGCAGTGGTCCAGCAGGAGGCTTTCAATTGGCTGAAACCCTTCTACTCTGAGAGCAACAGCTTCCTGGAGATCCAGCAGGTGGAAGAAGAGCTGCCCTGTGACCAAGAACAGGAAGTGCGGGTGGATTACATCCTGGACCGGAATGAGCTGGTTCCTGGGTCAGATCATCTGGATTTCTATTATTTGGTGAGCACTAATTTTCAGGGCAGTTGGATCCCATGTTTTTTTACAGCAGTAGCCCTGAGGCTACATCTGTGCTTCACACTTATTTCAGAATAAGCTATTCCAGAACAAATACTCCAGAACAGCTATTTCAAAATAACACAAGTACACTACAGGGAAGCCTAGAAATTAGTCCAAGGCAGGCTCCCCTAATGTGGATGCACTATCTTGATTTAGAGTCCCAGCCAGCACTGGGGAGTAATTATTTTGAATGGCCTGGGGGAGGAGCTATTTCAAAACAGCAGCAGTGCAGCATCCATACTACAGCTATTCCGAAATAGCTGTTTTGGAAGAGGTGTTATTCCTCGTGGAATGAGCCACCCATTATTTCAAAATTATTTCAAAATAATGGGCTAGCTGTGAAGACATTCTCATAGTTATTTGGAAATAATGGACGTTATTCCGAAATAATGTTGCTGGGTAGACATACCCTTACAGACCTCTGCAAAAGGGGTAACTATTCATGGTCTGTAAAACATTTTGTGGATTCCATTTTATGCTTGGATTTGTAGATATCTTGCTGAGTGGAATGCATGTTTCTGAAACCTCCTCACTAAACTCCCAGTCCCACAGCATTTGACAGCTCTCCTCCCCCCCAGCCCCCCTCCCCCCCGAGTTATCTTGTTCTGCTAGGAACGTCTTGAGCCAGCCTTGGGGGACTGTTGCTAGTCTGGCCTGATTCTGTGGCTGGAATTGGAAGGCATGGTTGCCAGGTGAGTGCCTTGGCAACCTTCCCTTGGAGTTCCCACGGGTTCCGTTGCTTAGAGAACATTTCTGAGGCTTCTGGGCCTTCGTCCATTATGAGTTTAATGATAAAGCACGGTGATTGTCTCTCTCAGACTCACTCTGCTCTGCATGTTCTCTTCTCAGAAGCCTGGCTCCTGACAGGCTGTTCTGTCTCCTCTGCAGGTTGTCTCAAGAGGCAGGATTGTTCTCAATGGACAGACACAAGTGCCAGTTGGCCAGGATGAGAGTAAGTAAGAAATCCCAGCTGCAGCTGCAACAAACTCCATGGAGAGCATCCCAATGGATCTGGCCATTGGGCCATCTTAGTATGGTAGGCAGGCTCCTGCCTTGCCTGGCTATGGATGATCCAATGTCCCACCTCTTGCTTTGGTCTGTCCAGTCTGGAGTTTTGAGAACAGATGGAACAAAAACCTATCAGGGATGGTCCAGGTATACTCAGTGTGAGGGGATGGACTAAATGGCTTCTTGAGGTCCCTTTCCAGACTGCATTTCTATGATTCCTTGACTGGCCTAGTGAATGTCTCTGCAGATACTGTTCTTATCCACATATCACAGTCTGAAAGTGGCTCACGACTGCCAAAAAGCAGGGCAGAACCTCCTAACTGGTTGTACATTCTGTAATTAGGCTTCACCAAGCCAATAGCAGGTGGGAATTCTCTAACTCCTGTAACAGTCTTACCATGGAGTCACAGTTAGACTGGAATGCCTCAGGGGGACTACTGAATGCCTCATTTGCCTGCAATGGTTCATCCTGTGTGCAGGATGAGCAGTTTACCTCACTTGGTGCTTCTTTCCCTGTTGGATGAGTTACACCTTTAGGGAGGTGTTTACTGGGCAAACACGCAACATACCTTTATAGCCTGGAATATTATAACGTAGGATTAAAACATGAAGCATCCTATAGCATTCCATAAAATCTAAATCCTATACACATTCTTATAACACTCACTAGATGAACCCACAGGTTAGCCAGATTCATTTCCAGTTGTGCATGTGTCAGGGTACGTCTACACTACAGCACTAATTCGAACTACTTAATTCGAACTAGGTGTTAGTCCTCGTAGAATGAGGTTTACCTAGTTCGAATTAAGCGCTCCGCTAGTTCGAATTAAGTTCGAACTAGCGGTTCGCGTGTGTAGCGCCTACCAAAGTTAATTCGAACTAACGTCTGTTAGTTCGAATTAACTTTGTAGTGTAGACATACCCTCAGTGTTCAGTGAGACCTGTGGCCTTGGCATGAGCTGACACTGGTCTGCCAGCATCACGCCACAAAAATTATAAAATCCTATGCCTCAGTAATATCCAGCACCAGTTTTGCATGGATCTAAATAAGCATTTCTTTCACTTCCCACCCTCTCATACAGCACTGAAGGGTTCCTTCTCATTGACTCTGCCCATCAGCTCTGAACTTGCACCCACTGCCAATCTTTTGCTTTATGCCATATTTGCTGATGGAGAGGTAGCAGCCGATGTGGACGTGTTCACAGTCAGCAAGTGCTTCAAACACAAGGTGAGTGTTGTCCTGGGATGTTGAAGTGGGGGTTGGGGAATGGGATGTGGGGCAGAGAGGCGATCTGGCTGGGACAATGTGCCCTCCACTATCTCTGTGCCCTTCTGTCTGTGTTTCTAGCAGGCTCTCACTCCCATGCTTCCTCTTTCTGCCAATCTCTCTCTCTCAGTTGCATGGCTCATGCACCCACTTTGTTTTCTACCCTTCTTCCATTTGGTAAACACATCGGCTACGTCTACACTGTCATGATTTTCCGGAAATGCTTTTAACGGAAAAGAGCGTCTAGATTGGCAGGACGCTTTTCCGCAAAAGCACTTTTTGCGGAAAAGCGTCCGTGGCCAATCTAGACGTGGTTTTCTGCAAAAAAGCCCCGATCGCCATTTTCGCGATCCGGGCGTGCGGAAAACAGTACTGTGCTGTTTACACTGGCCCTCTTGCACAAATGATTTGCGCAAGAGGGCTTTTGCCCGAATGGGAGCTTCACTGTATTTCCGCAAGAACACTGACGATCTTACATGAGATCATCAGTGTTCTTGCGGAAATTCAAGCGGCCAGTGTAGACAGCTGGCAAGTTTTTCTGCAAAAACAGATGATTTTGTGGAAAAACTTGCCAGTCTAGACACAGTCATCTCTCTCCTCCTGTAGGTGACACTGGCCTTCTCAGAGACGGAGGACCTCCCAGGGTCGAAGGTCAGTCTTAACCTGAAGGCTGACCCTGGCTCCCTGTGCTCCATCCGTGCAGTGGACAAGAGCGTCCTCCTCAAGGAAGATAACATCATGACACCAGAGAGTGTGAGTAAACCTGCTCTTCCTCAACCACTAGGTGACCCCACTCTGGCCAGGCTTGCCCCATGGAACGTGCCAGGTGAGAAGCATATTCTGATGTACCTAAACAGGGCCCTCTTACAAGATGGGTAAACCCAGCCACCACCAATTTGTCTGACCTTTACACTGTGTATTGATTGCCAGTAGACCTCTACCTCACTTGATCTCCTTGACCAGCAGGTGGCTGATTCCTCCCTGTTCCTCCATGGCTACTCCAGGGGCAATGCTTGGAATGAAGTGGTGGGGGCATCAGGCAGATAGGTGGAACGGGCAACTTCAAAAGAATAATGGGCACTCCCTCCAGGGAAAGTGTGGACGTAGCAGTGGGATTGCTGCTGGCCCTCTGCTTACTGTACTGGCACCTCCTCTTGTTTCACCGATGCCACATTTCTCTGCCATGAGAGTCTGTGCTAATGGTTAACTCAAGAGGCCAAGAGCCAGAACTCTTGGGTTCTAATTCAAGTTCTGCCATTGATTTACTGGGTGATGTAGGTCCCTGCCTCGGTTTCCCTTTCAGCTGGTGCGTGGGTTGTGAGACTTAAGTCACTGATGCTCAGAAGTGCTTCTGAGACACTTTGCTGTGAAAAGTTTTGGAGAGGGGCAAAGTATTATTATAGAGTAAGAAAACTGGTTACCAGTATCTAGGACTTTCTTTGGCACTATGCTACAGACTGTGGCTACTCCAAATTGATGGTGATAGCAGGGATAGACTTTAGATTCCCCTGCTCCGAAAGGTTGTGAGGGAAAGGAGATTTGCCATGAACTTTTAGCAGGATGAGGCCTAAGGTACAAAAGTTCAGCTGTCCTGCTCCTTACCAGTAGAGGGCAACACACACACACATACACACAATGCCCACAAAACAGACATTAGACAGGATCACAAAGAAAAAACAGTTGCTTGTCATTTCAACCAGAAAGGACACAGTCTCAATGACCTGCTAACCTGCATCCTACTTCAGAAGACATTCAAATCTGCACTTGAAAGGGAATCCTCTGAACTGGCATTCATGCTAAAATTCGACACTCTCCGCACGGGACTTAACAAAGACTCCAGCTATCTTACACATTACAAAGATAGCTTCCCCAATTATCACTTCTAATACTATTAACTCACAGACATTTCCCCTTCCCCACCTCTAATATCATTAACTCACTGGCATTCACCTTCCTTCCCCCCCCCTACGTTCCCCTTCTGTTCTGTAATGTGATTTGTCCTTTTCATGTGTGTTCATTTTTTTTTTAAATTGTATCCTTTGGTATTTATGGTTGTGACTATTTTCTTCCATTATTTGATCTGAGGAAGTGGGTCTGGCCCACAAAAGCTCATCATCTAATAAACCATCTTGTTAGTCTTTAAAGTGCTACATAGTCCTGTATTTTGTTTCACATACACACACATACACTTAACCCCAGTTCAGTATAGTAACTTTCATTTTCTCATCCAGGTGTATTTGTGGGGCTTGGAAGAAGATTATATGATTGGTGGCCGAGGATATCCTTATCGTGTGGAAGACTTTGAGCCATATCCTTGTCTGCCCCCTGTTCTTCCTCTCCTCCCCACTGCCCGGAACAGGCGCTCTTTGATGGGAGCTCCCTGGTATCAAAGCGAGGCTGATGTCTATAGTCTGTTTAAGGTGGGTATCTTCTGTGCTACTGCACTGAATGGCTCCTGTTCTTGACCACTGGAATTGTACATTTATGGGAAAAAGAAGAACTAGTTGAGAATTCGAAAGTGGAAGGCAGCTTTGATGAAAGTGACCATGAAATCATAGAGGGAGAACAGCAAAACAGAGACAATGGATTTCAGGAAGGCGGATTTTGGTAAGCTCAGTGTTGAAGCAAAAGCAAGCCTCTCTGTGGTTAGGCAACTAACAAAAGCTTTATTGATCAATAAGGCACAGAGTGAGCCAAACGTGGTCTCAGCAGAGCCGGGCCCAGTAAGACTCCTAATACACATCAATCCTAGTATCTTTATACCCTTAACGAAACAAGTCTGACGTCAGGGCATCCAATTACAGAAATCATCAATTAAACTTAGAAAAACAAAGCCTTATCAGCAAGATGGTGGGCAGGTACTAGGGAGTGAATCTTCCTTCTCAGCCAGCTCAATTGAAACATTCCAATAGTACATCTGTCTGGCCTGGCACATGGTGGTGATAGAAAGTTCACTCTGGTCTATGTGCTAAAGCAAGAAGCTGAAATTGTTTCTGTTATTCAAGATGGCTTCTAGCTAAATATGAAATAGTTTCCACATCAGAGAGCTGGTAGGTCAGGTCCCATGGGAAGCAAGACTAAGAGGATTAAACACTTGAAGACAGTTGGCAGTTTTTCAAAGAGACATTATTAAGGGCCCAAGAGCAAACTATTCCACTACATAGGAAAGATGGGAAGTATGGCAAAAGATCACCTTGGCTTAACCATGAGATCTCATATGAATAAAAAATCAAAAAGGGGTCATATAAAAAGTGGAAACTAGGACAAATTACAAAGGATGAATATAAGCAAACAAAAGTATATAGGGGCAAGATTAGAAAGATGAAGGCACAAAATGAGCACAATCTAGCTAGAGGCATAAAATGTAACAAGAAAACATTCTACAAATATATTAGAAGCAAGAGGAAGACCAAAGAGAAGGTAGGCCCATTGCTCAATGAAAACTTGGAAATGGCAGATGTGCTTACTAACTTATTTGTTTTGGTTTTCACCAAGAAGGTTAGTAGTGACAGCATGCCTAACAGTGGAAATGGGGTCCTTTTAGAATTTAAAATAGGAACAAAAACAAGTTACAATTACTTAAAGAAGTTAAACGTCTTCATGTCACCAGAGCCTGATGAAATGCATCCTGGGATACTCAAGGAGCTGATAGATGAGGTATCTGAGCCATTAGCTCTTATCTTTGAAAAGTCATAGTAGTTGGGAGAGATTCCAGAAGACAGGAAAATGGGGGTATGTCTACACTACCCTCCTAATTCGAACTAGGAGGGTAATGTAGGCATACCTCACTTGCAAATGAAGCCCGGGATTTGAATTTCCCGGGCTTCATTTGCATGAAGCCGGCTGGCGCCATTTTTAAATGCCAGCAGTTCGAACCCCGTGCCGCGCGGCTACACGCGGCACGGGGGGATTTAAATATCCCCCGCGGCATTTAAATAAAAATGTCCGCCGCTTTTTTCCGGCTTTTAAAAAAGCCGGAAAAGAGCGTCTACACTGGCCCCGATCCTCCGGAAAAGGGCACTTTTTCCGGAGGATCGGGGCCAGTGTAGACGCTCTTTTCCGGCTTTTTTAAAAGCCGGAAAAAAGCGGCGGACATTTTTATTTAAATGCCGCGGGGGATATTTAAATCCCCCGCGGATTTCCCTACGACGACTCCTGAAATTTACATGCCCCTTCCGGAAAAGGGGCCAGTGTAGACGTAGCCGTGCAGTATGCCTACATTACCCTCCTAGTTCGAATTAGGAGGGTAGTGTAGACATACCCTGGCATCTATAAAAAGGGAAATAAGAACAATCCAGGAAATTACAGACCAGTCAGTTTAACTTCTGTGCCAAGGAAGATAATGGAGCAAGTAATTAAGGAATTCATCTGCAAACATTTGGAAGATAAGGTGATAGGAAACAGCTAGCATGGATTTGTGAAGACTAAATCATGTCAAGCCAATCTGATAGCTTTCTTTGATAGGATAATAGGTCTTGTGGATAAGGGAGAAGAAGTGGATGTGGCATACCTAGGCTTTAGTAAAGCATTTGGTACAGTTTCACATGACCTTCTTATCAATAAATTAGGGAAGTACAATCAAGATGGTACTACTATGAGGTGGGTTAATAACTGACTCAGAGTAGTTATTAATAGTTCAGAGTCATGCTGGAAGGGCATAACAAGTGGGGTTTGGCAGGGGTCTGTTTTGGGACCGGTTCTGTTCAATATCTTCATCAACGATTTAGATATCGGCATAGAGGAGACACTTATTAAGTTTGCAAATATGAAGAAGCTGGGAGGGGTTGCAACTGCTTTGGAGGATAGCATCATAATTGAAAATGATCTGGACAAACTGTAGAAATGGCCTGAGATAAATAGGATGAAGTTTAATAAGGACACATGCAAAGTATTCCACTTGGGAAGGGATAATCCATTTCACACATACAGAATGGGAAGCAACTATCTAGGAAGGAGCACGGCAGAAAGGGATCTAGGAGCCATAGTGGACCACAAGCTAAATATGAGTCAACAGTGTGACTCTGTTGGAAAAAAAGGAAACATGATTCTAGGATGCATTAACAGGTATGGTGTGAGCCTGACACAAAAAGTCATTCTTCCACTCTATTCTGCACTGATTAGGCCTTAATTGGAGTACTGTGTCCAGTTCTGGGCACCACTTATCAAGGAAGATGAGGAGAAATTGGAGAGGGTCCACAGAAGAGCCACAAAAATGATTAAAGGTCTAGAAAGCTTGAGCTATGAGGAAAGACTGGAAGAATTGGGTTTGTTTTGTTTGGAAAAGAGGAGACTGAGAGGACACATGATAGCATTCTTCAAGTACCTAAAATGGTGTTACAAGGAGGAGGGAGAAAAATTGTTCTCCTTGGCCTATGAGGATAGGACAAGAAGCAATGGGCTTAAACTGCAGCAAGGGAGGTTTAGTCTGGACATTAGGAAAAACTTCCTGACTGTCAGGGTGGTTAAACACTGGAATAAATTACCTAGGGGGGTTGTGGAATCTCCATTGCTTGAGATATTTAAGAGGAGGTTGGCTAGACACCTGTCAGGGATGGTCTAGGTGGTGCTGGGTCCTGCTGTGAGGGCAGGGGATTGGATTTGAGGACCTCCCAAGGACCTTCCTGTTCTAATATTCAGTGATCTATGAGTCTATAAGTTTGTCCTGTTACAGGCTAATGTGGCTACCCTTCTGAGGTAACTTCCGTGTGAGTTTTCATGAATTAGTACTGAATAACATCTGGCCTGATGTTCTGATACTGCACGGTCTAACTTTTGAGCAGATTTACAACATGTCAAAGTTGACTTTGTTCATTAATTGTTTTTAATAGATTTAGTGGAGTTGATTCTGAGATGACCGTTATCAGGGTAAAACCTGGGTATTTCCATTGACTTTGGTGAAGGTGAAGAATACGCGCCAACATTTATCACATACGTGTCTGCATTCTGCCACACATTTTCTTGAGCCTGACAATGTCACATTTGGATTCAATATGAACATACAAAATTTTGCAACATGTTGGGTTTCATTGTTTCATTAATTACAATTTGTTTTTTCTTTCATTGTCCCTCCTTTTCTCCCATTGATCATTTTTGCATTCTCTCCATTTTCTACAGCATTTGAGAATGAAAATTTTAACCAACACCAAAGTGAAGAAGCCCGTTTCCTGTGTACGGCCAACCTATGAGAAAAGAATCTTACAGTCTGCCAGAAACCAGCATGATGATGTTGATAATGGTGAGAACTGAATACAATCTTCTGCTGATTCCCTGTGAGAATGCCTCTGATCAAGGGAAGCTAAGCCCCACCTGGCACTCTCCTTTCTCCTCTCTGAACCTGCTGCTGCAGTTCTGGACTCTCTGTGAGTGAGGGAACTAATTTTCCCCTGTTGCAGCTCTTGTTTTATATACAAAAAACATAATATGAAGGACCCACGTGGGCAAAGAGAGGTCCAGCTAACTATATTTATTAATTATTTATAACATGCAGGGCCAACTACATATACACATTCCTGTCCTGCCTGGGTTCTGAGGGCTTCCAAAACATACAACATGCTAAACACCATGGCTACGTCTACACTGGCCCCGATCCTCCGGAAAAAGTGCCCTTTTCTGGAGGGTCTTATTCCTACTTCAAAGTAGGAATAAGACCCTCCGGAAAAGGGCACTTTTTCCGGAGGATCGGGGCCAGTGTAGACGCTCTTTTCCGGCTTTTTTAAAAGCCGGAAAAAAGCGGCGGACATTTTATTTAAATGCCGCGGGGGATATTTAAATCCCCCGCGGATTTCCCTACGACGATTCATGAAATTTACATGCCCCTTCCGGAAAAGGGGCCAGTGTAGACGCTCTTTTCCGGCTTTTTTAAAAGCCGGAAAAAAGCGGCGGACATTTTTATTTAAATGCTGCGGGGGATATTTAAATCCCCCGCGGATTTCCCTACGACGATTCATGAAATTTACATGCCCCTTCCGGAAAAGGGGCCAGTGTAGACGTAGCCCATTAGAAGTCTAATAAACTCCATCCAACACTTGCAAAATGTGGAACTGATTACAACTGCTCCACAGCTCACAGAACACCACTTATGGGAGAAACTGTGGCATCAATACCATCACATGGACTCTACCTGAATGTCAAGACGGCCTTGTTACTAGAGCTGAATTATTTGTTCTCTCTAAGGGTGTGTCTACACTGCACTGTTATTCCAGAATTATGGACATTATTCCAGAAAAAAATACTAGCATCCAAACAGCAATTGTTTTATTTTGAAAGAAATTTGAAATAACAGAGGGCTTTTTCTGACATTGGTAAACCTCATTCTATGAGGAATGATGCCTCTTCCAAAAAAGTTCTTTCGGAAGAGAGGGTATGTGGATGCTCCACTGCTGCTATGTTGAAATAGCTCCTCCTATTCTAAGGCTCCTTCTATTCTAGACTACAGGGTTTTGTTGACAAAAGTGGACTTTTGTCGACAAAACTATACCTGCATCTACACTGCCACAGAGTTCTGTCTACAGAAGGCATTATTACATCTATAGTGTCCTTTGCGTCTACACTGTCATGTCGACAAAGTGGCTTGCTTTGTTGACAGAACTGGATGTAGTCTAGATGTACCCTAAATTATTCTAAGTTATTCCTCCCCAGTGTCTCCTGGTCATCTACATTACGGGAACCTGCCTCAGACTAATTTTGAGGCTTCCCTGTAGTGTGAATGTTCTATTTCAAAATAAGATATTTTGGGAGATCTCTTCCGGAATGGCTTTTTCCTAAATAAGCTTGCAGTGTAGATATACCCTAAGGCTGTGTCTAGGCTGCACCCCTTTTGCGGAAAAGGGATGCAGATTAGACACAGCACAATTGCAAAAGAAGCGGGGATTTAAATCTTTCCCGCTTCATTTGCATGAACATGGCTGCCGCTTTTTTACGGCTCGGGGCTTTGCCGGCAAAAAGCGCCAGTCTAGACGGGGATCTTTTGGAAAATAAAGCCTTTTCCGAAAGATCCCTTATTCCTGATTTCCGCCTCTGCGGCTTTGCTCCTGTCTCCCTGCTGTGCGCCTGTCTCCCTGCTGTGCTCCGGGGCAAAGGAGCAAAGCCGCATGGGCAGCGGGGTCCCGCCGCCTGTGCGGCTTTGCTTGGGTCTCCCTGCTGTGCTGGGGGGGACTCCCCAGCACACCAGGGAGACCCGGAGCAGCTTTTCTCGCCCCGG